ATGGCCTGGGTTGAAAAGGACCACAGTGATCATCTAGTTTCAAGCCCCTGCTATATGCAGGGTCACCAACCACCAGACCAGGCTGCCCAGAGCCACATCCAGCCTGGCCTTGAATGCTTTCAGGGATGGGGCATCCACAACCTCCTTGGGCAACCTGTTCCAATGCATCACCACCCTCTGGGTGAAAAACTTCCTCCTAATATCTAACCTAAACCTCCCCTGTCTCAGTTTAAAAGCATTCCCCCTTGTCCTATCACAATTCATTCTTGTAAACAGCCGTTCTCCCTCCTGTTTATATGTTCCCTTCAAGTATTGGAAGGCCACAATGAGATCTCCCCGGATCGCAATCTTGTTCCAGTGATTGTATACAAGAGTAGTAAAAAATCTGTATTAGATAAGAAGAGAAATGAGAATCTGAAAAGAAACAATGTGGGAGATAGATGGGAAGAGAGCTATGATGTTCTATGGGAGGGGAGACCTAAGGAATATGCGTGTGGTTGTAATCATGCCAAAGCACAGGTGAAGTATGACATAAGTGTAATGTTTTTAAACTATATCGGGGAGAGGCCAATGATGAAATCCCAAGTGGCTGTAGCAACTGGAATGGCATCCACTATAGTAGGATGAAAAGATACCTATTACCCTAAACTGAAGTGTGTATTTAATTGAAGAAAAGAAGCAGTAGAAACTAGCAGTGAGATCTGTTTTACTTAACTTGCGCCATCCAAGAGTTAGACTTCCAGTTAAAACTGATCATCTTGTGGCAGCATATAGCCAATAGGGACATACGACAATTTTAAGAGGAGAATTCATCTCGTGTATTTCTTACAGTTGTCTTAAATTGAATGAGTCACCCCAAAGATATGCATAGCTTTTGAACAACTAGTTCTAACCCGGAAAGGCCAAAGTTAAATAAGATTAATCATCACTGCCAATGTATATGGAAAAGCTTAGAAAAGAGAGAGTATACTAGCATCTGGGGATGCAAAAGGAGTAATCATTAATATTGAAAAGTAAAGTGTGGTTAGCATTTGTGAAGGAAAGTGTCAGAAGTGAGCAAGACACTAAACAGAAATTAAGAGGGTAGAAGTGGGCAATAGAGTGATGAATGGATAGGACAAAGTCATGAGATAAGAGAAGTCCTAAACTGAGGAGATTTGGTGAGACAGTTCTGTTTGTGAGAGTATAAAGGAAAATAGCGTGGAAAAAGTTGGAAAGAAAGTCTGAAGGGGAAAAAAAGGAAGAATAGAATATTGGTTTGTTTTTTGTTTTAAATTAGCTGTTCCACTGAAAGTATGAACACTACTGTTACATGTTATATGTAAGTGGATCTTTGTTTGCAACTGAACTTTTCCATTCATAATAGTAGTTTGCCAGAATCAATCATCAGAGGAATGTACAGCAGTATATTCCACATACAGCAAACAGTGTTGTACATGCCTATTTTTAACCATATACCTGTTCTGACACATTTTTAGGCAAAGATAGCCTTTCTTAGCATTCCCTCAGTTTTCACGGTTGTAAAGGGAATGTGTTATAAGAATTAAACAAAATATTAAGCTAACTAAAGAAAGGTCAATAGAAAAACAATTGATGCATTGTATTCAGTGCATTTCATTGAATAGTTGCATATGGTTTACTCTTATTTGAAATATTTGAAATATGGGACCTGCAATACAGAAAGAAAAGTAATTAAAAGAATTCTTAGAAATTGAAATACTGTCTTAAGAGATTTAGAAGATAGGTATTATTTGCTGTAGAAATGTAAGAAACTAAAATTAGTCATAATGAAGATTGGTAAGAAACTGAAGTGATAAAAATGAAGATTAGAATAAACCAGGTAGATTTGAAACCTATATTTGATTTGTATTGAAAACAATATATGGCTTGCTGGAATTACAGTAAACTCACAACATCTTTTCTAAGCAAATTAATTTTGTCCCTTAAAGCACATGGTTTATCAAACTTATTGTCATGGCTCATCCTTGAGTTGCAAGTTTTTGGAAGGTTTTATAGATTGTATCAAAATGATCAAGCCTAGTAAAAAATGTATCTGTTAAATTCTTGGAGGCGTTTATAGATACTGGCACTCTGAGACATAATGCTGCTGATAAAAAGCAAGGACTAAGGACAGATGTCTTCTGCCTACTACTGCTTTCCTTGCATGGTCCATTTGAGGGTAGATGATACTCATCAATTCTAGCAGAATCTAGCCACTGGTCAGATTTAGTTAGGCCATGGGAATGCAAGTAGTTCTTCCTGTATCATTTTACAGAGCAGGATTAGGTGGCTTTTCAGTCACCTTTGTGTTTTCTCATTGACAGAAATAAACTTCAGTACAATCTCTGCAACTCTTTATGTAGAGCTGTGCACTCTCTGAAGACATGTCTGCATCATAGTTACAGGAAATACCACCTTCATCTATGATTGATTAAAAACCTTAAGGCATGAGAATGTTTCAAAGGACACTTATTATAAATGTATGACCAGCTGCTCTGGGAATGACATAGCACTGAAGATCATCTGAGAAGACAAGATAATTCAAGCTCAGCTGAGTTCTGGCCACAACGAATGCTTCGTTGTTCAACTGAGTATCTGAGCATCTCACTGAAATAAATGTCGCTCAAAGTACAGCTTAATGCAAAGGCTGAAGGCCAGTAAAAAGACCACAGAAGAGTGAAGTCCAGTGACTGAAAAAAAACACATGTAGCTGCCCTGAATATCTTGCAAAACGGGTCTTGTTTTTGCAGCAGTTCTGGTCTGTGGCATTAATAGTGCCAGGATAGAACTACAGTTTTTGAGTTTGGTTGCTGACAGACCTTCTTTTCAGATTTAATTCAAAAATACAATTGAGGGTATTTGAACAGAAGGAGCTATTCATGCAGTAAAACCAGTATCTTGCTTACCAGCTTTGCTTAACCTGAGACTTGTGCTGATTCACACAAAACTATCATTGAGGAAGAATACAGTGAAGTGTTGTAATTCTCATTTGGTGAAACCAGTTAATTCACCCTAAGGGTACTGAAATGTTTGCACAGACTTAGTTTGAGATTCCCCCAGTTGGTTCATCCTCGTGCTTTCACATAGCTTGCTGTATTTGCCAACTCCTTTGGACCTTAGCATAGATTACTTAGATGAAAGCTAGACATCTGGAAACTGCTGACAACTTCTCACCTCTTCTCTCAAGGTGGTGGCTAGATATATGTGGGTGGGTTGGGTCTTTGTGACTGCCTGTGACAGGGAAGGGATGAGATTCCTCAAGCATCTCTACATTATGAAAGAAGAGAGCCCTGGCAAAGGGTCTTGTCCCTTGCTTTACATATCTTTATACAGACCTAGCTGTGCTTTTCACTTCCTCCTCACTCTTAATGGGGGAGCAAAAACCAAAGGTAGTTAAAAATCAATCTTCCTAATACACGCTGTTTCTCTTATAGATGCTATATAAGGAAAAACATTATTTTTCCATGCAATTTGCTATTGTGTACCCAGAAAGCTTTCCTTTAGATAACTATGGACACTGGATAAACCATCCTCATTTTTTCCTAGGTTCTTTCACAAGCATTGTACCTCTGCTTGGCAGAGATCCACAGTCTCATTCATGCTTGTTGCTATGGTATTGTGATCCAGTTTACCTGTACCAGATCTGCCTGTGAGGCAGCCTGGTGACAGTACTGAATGCAGAATATCCTCAGCTAACTTTGGTCATTTTAATTATACTTTAATCTGGACATCTGACTATGATCAAATCTAAGCTATTTGGGTCAAATCCAAACATCAGGCTAATCTGTATCTAGAATTTTATTTCCTGCTTTGGCCCATGCAGCGTTTCAGAAGAGATGCAGCCAAATCAACCTGATCTCTCATTAACCAAGTGTGTCCTGTCTGATATCACAGGAGAGAAGAGCTTAGTATCGCACTAAGAGAAGGGTGCCCTGTAAGCAAGTCTTGAGCTTAGGAAAGCCCTATTACAACGTATGGTCTCTGGCTACAGCCCGGCACTGCAGCTCCACCTCTTTCATGTGATCCAGTGTTTCAGATTAGCATCTGTCACATAACCAGATCCACAGGATGTCTTGTTGAACTTCTTGAGTAGTCTTGGAAAAACAAACTGTTCATCTCTGTAAGCCTTTAGGGAGTCAGCTACCTATTTACTGCTCTCGTGGTGAAGTAAGTGTTTGGGAGGTGAAAGAACCATGGCAGCACAGCATGTCTTCACATGACCAAAGTGAAAATTACACCCATAAAAGCTGCCACTGCAATTTAGAGCATGGAGTATTTTCCAGATATCTCATGGTTAATACTGTGGAATGTTCTGGCTGTGTTTGTAGTCACAAATATAGGATGGAAATCCAGTCCATAATTTTCTACCCACTGCTTATAAATGTCGTATGTTCATAATGTGGGTTTTTCTTTTTCCTTCCCGTTGTTCTTGATTGTTGTTGACTCAGAGTTGGGTGGGATGTTATTTTTAATCTTATTACACCATTTGAGTTTTTTTCTTTCTTTCTGTGTGGCTTTTTTTTTTCCAGAGTTACTTTTACAATGATGACACTTTTAACTTCAACTACGCCCAAGCCAAAGCTTCCATGGGCCTTTTTAGTGAAGCTGAAGAGGTATGTTTTTACTTTCTTTAAAAAACGACAATAAAAATGCTTCCCTCGTACTCCTATTTTCTTCCTTTTTTTCTTCTTTTTTTTTTCATCTACATCTTAATTTTGGTTGAAAATAATTAGACTGTGTGGAACATTCATAAAGGAACTGAAACTCACAGTGAACATTATTCAGAAAAGATTATCTTGCTAATCTTGTAATACGAGGTGTACGGAGAGTCATGCTGCTTGTGGTGCGTCACAGGAGCGCTTGCAGCTCTCCCTAATTGATCAAAGTCTGCCTTCTTAATCAGATTTCCTACACTTTGTCTGGGATCTCAGGCAGTCCTATTGTTCTTGATAAAAGCATGCTGAGTAAAAGACACTGTATAGTTAAGAGCTGCTAGGTGTCCCTAGAAATTTGTGTTAAAAAAAAAAAAAAAAGCATGCAACAACAACAAAAAAACATTTTCTTCCTTGGGGAGATGTGGGAGGAGAAGAGGAAGTGCTCACTATCTTATTCAGCAGCATCCAGATACAGCTGGAAGAGATTAACTTCTACAAAGAGCATTTTTTTTGTCTATGTGCAGTAGAAATTTAATTACAGCTAAAATATGCAGAAGCAAATAGCTATTATGAAAATGGAAGCTATGTTTTCCACAAGGCTATCAGAATACAAACTAGAAAAAATAAAACAAATAGTCTGGAGTGAATCATACAGGTTTTGTTTTGGTTTGGTTTTTGGTTTTCTCCTTTCTGATTTTTTCTAACTCTTTGAGTCTCTTCACAACAGAGCTCTTTATTTCTGTGGAACTCACAATTTCGGTTCCTTTAAAGGAACCATCTGTTCCTTTAAAGATATTTTGATTTTTTTTTTTTTCCCAAAAGCATCCTAAGTATAGTCACAGATACAACTGCAAAGAGGCATATATAGTTGGTTTTTTTTTGTTTGTTTGTTTTTTTCTGTGAATAAAGCCAGAGTACATCTTAAAATGCATCACTTCTCCCACACACACCCCTTTAGATGCAGAGTGTAATAAGCCTGTGTTTGCACAGTAAGTTACAAAAGACTAATGTTTTGCCTCAGAACCTTACTGAAACCAAAAGGGTAAGAAAAGGCTTCTTGCTCACCTAAAATGAACTCTGACACATATGGGGAAGAAAGTCTCATATATATAGTGAAACTTCTGGTATTTCAGGATAATGCTAATTAAATTGCATGCATTGCTTTCTAAACAAACAAGTTCCAAATACTTTTTCCCACAGGCCCAGTGTTCCTTTGTGCTCTTTGAGTTTCATGGCCACTTACTGGCACTTGTTCAGAGTAGTCCACACCCTCTGCACAGCTTGGCATTTTGAAGCTGCAGCAGTCCCTTGATAAGCATTGCACTATTTCAGTCCTCCACCTACCCAACATAGCAATATGCCCCTGCACTACAGTTGCAAACTCAGAGTCTTCTCATGAAGCCATTGTTGCATGGCTTAAGCCTTACCTGCATGTTGAAACTAGGCAGATCTGCTTTGTGTTTGTTTAAAAGTACATGCATATATATAATCTTTTATTTTCCTTCTTCCTTCAGGTGTTCCTTTTGATCCAGAGTGAGAAGATAAAGAATGATTTTGTTTACCTTAGCTGGCTGGCTCGCTGCTGTGAGTCACTTTACTCTCAACAGAATACAGATCCTCCTCTATTGCATCAGTCTTGGCAATCCGCTTTCCTCTGAATGTAATGTTGTAGGTGGATTCAGGACTTTAAAAGTGAAAAGCTGATTGTGCACTCATTATAGCGTGGGTGGTTATTGCACCTTTCATATGTCTGGCTTCACTAAGCAGTTACAGCTTCAATGCTGTTGTGGTTCCATCCATGCAGTTTTGTCCTAACCAGCAAACATTTTTCTTCTCAGTTGTCTACTCAGTTGCTTGAGTGAGGATTTCCTGTCTTGAAAGACTGGATTAAAACTTTAAAATGTTCAGAGTAAAACATAAAATAGAAGCAGCAATACTGGGTCAGACACAAGGGTCTGTACAATTCCAGTTTTATTGAGAGTACTCCCATGGCTAAGGGAATTCATGCTTGTTCAGTAGACTGTTCATCCCTTTGATTTTGTGCTACAGTAGTTCTTTGACATACCTCTGGAAGTGCAGTACTCTGAATACACAAGCTTTTCTACAAGAGGTAGAATTAACACTATAATATCAATTATAAATTTTCTGGCAGTTTCATAAAAGTTGCTATTTATTCTCAGGTGTGCCTCAGCATTCTGAATTCCTCCCGAAGTTTCAGTAGAGGCGCTATATTCTTTGTAACTATCTTAAAATTTTCATTTTTCATTCCAAACAGTTTCTAGAATTTTTTGCAGAAGGAACTGTTCATTGTTAAGTATACTGATCTTTTTGTGTCAAGTTTATAAATTACTATTATATCCTTCTGGATAAAAGCTGAAAGGAAATTACAGAGCATTCTAATTCATTTATGTCAGAATATGATTAGGTCTTGAGTCATACACAATTTAATCCTGAAATATCTCCAAAGGAAAGAAAGCACTAAAGATGCATCTTTTTTAGAAGCTAGACAATAATTTTTTTTGTTTGAGGTTGTTGCTCCATTTACATCAAATTCTTCCTGAAGAGGAGGTAAAAAGCCATTGAATGAGCACGGTAGTCCATTTCTCCAGGTAGATGAGTTTGTATGTGGAAATTAAGTCCTGGATGTTTGCTGTTGCCTATGTTATCCAGAGCTGATGAAACTTTATACTGCTTCCTCAATAAGAACATCCTGTGTTTTTATATTGGCTGTTTATTGTTGATGATTCCTACTCATTCTACTGCAACATATGTATTGGCACAGTGGGAACAAATATGAAAAGCTAAACAGTCCCTCTTTTGAAAAAGCATGAGAGTTCTCCATATACAAGCACCGTCTACTCTGTGAGTAGCTGATAAGACACAAAAAAGAAATACTTCCTTTTCTTTTCTCCTAGTACTTGAATGTGTCTAGAAGTAATAATATAAGCCTCACATTAACAGCATGGTCCTTATCTTCATAAAATCAATTTTTAGAATTCTTTATATTCAAATGTGCTAATAGACATTTTCACTAGCTGAAATGGAAGATTTGGTTTCTTTTATTTCAAATTGTGTATGAACAGTTATGCTTGAAAGCCAATGAAAATTCCCAGTCATAAATTAAAATTTAAAAGTAGGATGAAATCTCAGGAATTTTGACACATTTTTTTCTAGTAGATGCATAATGTTTTATTATGCCTGTAGGACATAAGAGCTTTTATTTTATTCTACCAGTCCTTTGGTTTTCCATGAACCATGGGAATTCATTCACAGAATCACAGAATCACAGAATTGCCAGGGTTGGAAGGGACCTCAAGCATCATGAATCTCCTGCCATATGCAGGGCCGCCAACCTTCCCACCTAATGGTAGACCAGGCTGCCCATGGCCCCATCTAATCTGGCCTTGAACACCTCCAGGGACAGGGCATCCACAACCTCTCTGGGCAGCCTGTTCC